TGATTAGTATACATGTATATCTTTCTCACTTTCACTTTCTCCTCTCTCTCTCTCTCTGTCTTCAGGAAAAAGCGTTAAGTACCTTATCACGTACAGCTGAGTACAATTTCTCATTATCCAACATGGAGACTGTGTATCATTTAAAAGCAGCTGTTGAGCCGGTCCTCCCCCTCCAACCGATATCCCTCAATCAACACGTCTACATTATATACACCATTTCTAATATAACCAGGGGGTTCCGTGACTCCACCCACCAGCCTCACTCACTTCAGATTCATTACGCAATACAGCCCGACTCCACTCAGTGGCTCATTAAAATGCCTAAGAAAGGTGTGGTCTCAGCCCCAGGCATAGCTAATAGCTCTTCGTTTAAAGTAATGGCTATGCCATTGGAAGAAGGATACCTAACAATACCGACCTGTTCTCTCATGATAGAGAGGGTTGATGGGGGAGGAGGTGAGGGAGAAGGAGGAGGGAAGAGGAGTCTTACTAGTTCTCAGTGTTACGATACTACATTACATCAATATATTAAAGTTGGCAGTGCTGGGCAGCCATTTTAAAACTGTTATTTTGATCAAATTTTTAATCTTTATAACAAAGTGTGTGTGTGTGTGTGTGTTTGTACAAAAAGAGCAAAAATTGAAGTCATGTATAATTTTAATATTAAGGTGTCTAGCCACGCCCCTTAGCAACGGGTGACATGTACCCATTCACTTAGCAATGGAATCAATGAATTTAGCTAGATTGATGTCCCTCTGTGAGAGCCCTTGGCAATCATGAGTACTGAGTGTTATATTGACACTGTTATAGACATTGAACCACTCTGGGTGATGGTTCATCTGGTCTGCTTTTAGTGCCACTCGTGTCATGAATCCAAACGCTTCATTGAAGTCGTTGAATTTGAAATCTTTTTTAATGGCGTCGCGTCCTTCGACTAGTGCCCAGCCAGCAGAAAGGAGAGGGGAGAGGAGGGAGTCTCTCTCTTCTGTGTCTAACTTGAGGCGTTTTGCACTTGGAGAAGACTATGAAATAGAAATTGATATTGTTTTTAAAATGTGATTATCATGATTACCATTATCCTTCTTGATATTACAATTCTACTTAATGATGTCACAAACATTACTTTAACGCCCACGCACAAACTTAGCCAGCCACACCTCTATACTATAATGAAATTTGTGCTGTTGCTGTTCCTCAGTTTCCTCTTTCATTCAGTGGATTCTTTCATTCTTCATTAAAAGCATTTTTCATTGAAGAGCATTTTAAAAATGCTTTTCTTGAAGTCTCTGCTGTTGCTGTGCCTCCTCTTTTATTCAGTGGATTCTTGTTCAACAGTATCTAGACCAGGTGTATCACTAACTGGAATATGTCCTAATGATACTTTTACTGTACCCATTGGAACAACACTAACTTATGAGTGCTCTTATAGCTTTCTTACAGGATATTATTCATTTTGGAATGTTAGTGGAACCGAACTGGCTGGTGGTAATTTCAGACCACCTGGAATAAGTGAGTATTTGCTCAATAACGATATTGGAAGAGCTACTATAACTATTTTAACTAATGGATTTGTCACAATGTACATACAATGTGGATTAAGAGGAACAGGACCTAATATTAATATGGATCTAACCTCTCGAGTGAGGTTTATTGGGACAGAAGTAGTTACCTTTGGTATGCATAGCTAGTTTATAGTAATGAAGTAGCTAAATCTCTTTTTCTTTCAGGTCCTCCTTCTTCATTATTCCACGAGTTAAGAGAGAATGATACTGTTAAGTTGTCATGGTTACCTCCTCTAGAAGAAGCCGTATCATTATTCACATATAATATAATAATAATGGAGTCAACTAATAATTCACTGACAGTAACTGATATAAACATTACTAACAATACATATGTCATAATATCACCAAGGGACATTGTGCAGTATACTCAGTGTAAGGAGTATCAGTGGGGGGTAAGAGCAGCTGCTAATTTAAGTTATGGATTTACTAATATAACAATGGCAGATACTAACTTTACCATTATATCAGGTAATGGTAACTTTATTAATATTAGTATTATTTCTTATGTAGCTCCCTTTGTTTCTGATGAATTGATCATTTCTGTAAACGACAGTATTTCTTATAGTTTTCATTTTAACGTAAGTACATGTAAATAGAATTTAATATTTCCTCTAATATTGATATTACTAGGTATCTTTACCGTGTGACTATAACAACTTGTTTAACAACTATACTTACATGCTGTTGCAAAGAGATTACTGCAAAGGAGAGATTAATTCATCATTGATTGAGATCACATCTGAACAAATTGATGATAATGATGGATCGACTGTATCAATCAGTGTTAACATTGAATCATTGATTCATGATTCAACATGGTCAGTTGCTGTTATTGTATTAAACAGGTTTGGTGCAGATACTACAGATTACACTAACATCACTAATGATAAAAGTAATTATTATATTGAATTTAATTATACTATTTTTACTCTTTATATACTAGCTAACATAAAGCAGTGTTACTCGGAGCCTATTTTATCACTGTCAACTGCAATAATGCTTTCAAAAACACTTACTCCTTCTCTAAGTCCATCATCAAGTATAGATTTAACTTTCTTATCTACTTACTGCACGGTTACAGTTTTATCTTCTCTTTAGTTTATAAATCTGGTTCTATTCAAACTTCAATGGACTGCACTGCAGTTATTATCACTAGTACAGTATACATCAGTAACATCACTACAACACCTTCAACTAATGTCATTCCAATTGTTATTGGTACTACAGCAACTGTTATGATACTACTGATAGTAGTAATAATACTACTCATTTTCATGATATTTTTATGCTATAAAAGATCTGATATAGTAATTACTATTGCAATGATGATAAACATTGTGATAACATGATTTTTGTGTTTTTATTGCAGGCTGGAAATAGATGTACTTCAAATCAGAATGTCACTGTGCCACTTGAGTCCTGTCCTGCATATGATGATATTTCAAGAATGAATACTGCAAACTGTGAAGCATATGGCAAAAGAGATGCATTTATAACTGCAGAGTATGAAACTGTAAATATAAATTAGCTAATTTTTAATTTGATTGTCAATAATAATTAATAAAGTGTGCAGTTTCCGCCCACCAATAATTATTATACCGAGTTTTATTTGTGAAGATTGAAGAAAGGCTGTGAAGAAACTAGAAAGACTATTATATCGTTGTTAAAGATGTCCCTTACTCCGTTACTGTCCTTATTTTTTGTGTGCTTCAGCCTTCTCTTTTATTCAGTGGATTCTTGTTCAACAGTATCTAGATCAGGTGTATCACTAACTGGAGTATGTCCTAATGATACTTTTACTGTACCCATTGGAACAACACTAACTTATGAGTGTTCTTACAACTTTTCTTCAGGATATTATCCATTTTGGAATGTTAGTGGAACCGAACTGGCTGGTGGTGTTTTCAGACCACCTGGAATAAGTGAGTATGTGTTCGATGGCAATATTGGAAAAGCTACTATAACTATTTTAACTAATGGAAATATCACAATGTACATACAGTGTGGATTAAGAGGAACAGGACAAAATATGGATCTAACCTCTCGAGTGAGGTTTATTGAGACAGAAGTAGTTACCTTTGGTATGCATAGATAGCACATGATACTGATAGTAATGAAGTAGCTAAATCTTTTTCTCTTTCAGGTCCTCCTTCTTCATTATCCCACAAGTTAAGAGAGAATGATACTGTTAAGTTGTCATGGTTACCTCCTCTAGAAGCGCCCATACCATTATTCACATATAGTATAATAATAATGGAGTCAACTACTAATTTACCAGTAACTGATATTAACATTACTAACAATACATATGTAATAATATCACCTGCTAATATAGCTAATTATACTGAATGTACTTCATATCAATGGGGAGTAAGAGCAGCTGCTAGTTTAAGTTATGGATTTACTAATATAACAATGGCAAATGAAAATTTCACTTTAATTTCAGGTACATTATTGGTTCCAAATTCTATAATACTATTTCATAGGTCCTAAAATATCTGATGAATTGACTGTTATTGATGATAATTATACCATTGAGTTCAATGTAAGTGCAACAGCAATTAATTTATTATTATTAATTAATAGGCTACAGCTCCATGTGATATTGATCTATTAAACAACTACACGTATACTTTACTACAAAGAGATTACTGTCAGACAGAACTCAATTCATCACAACTTAATATCAGTATACCACTTGATGATAATGTTGTTCTACCTAATACAATGATACCAATCAGTGTTAACATTGAATCATTGATTCATGATTCAACGTGGTTAGTTGCTGTTAGTGTATCAAACAGGTTTGGTTCAGATACTACAGACTATACAAACATTACAAACAATAAAAGTAATTAGTATATTGAATTTCACTTATAATACTATTGTTTGATAGCATATATAAAATTAATCAAAATAATTACTATTAATTATTATGCAACTCATCCAAACTGTGAGACTATTTTTACTCTTAACATATTAGCTAACATAGAGCAGTGTTACTCAGAGCCTATTTCATCACTGTCAACTGCAATAATGCTTTCAAAAACAGTTACTCCTTCTCCAAGTCCAATATCATCAAGTATAGATTCTTATCTATTTACTGTTACTATTTCATCTTCTCTTTAGTTTATAGATCTAAGTCTGGTTCTATTCAAACTTCAATGGACTGCACTGCAGTTATTATCACTAGTACAGTATACATCACTACAACACCTTCAACTAATGTCATTCCCATTGTTATTGTTACTATAGCAACAGTTATGATATTACTGATAGTAGTAATAATACTACTCATTTTCATGATACTTTTATGCTATAAAAGATCTGATATAGTAATTACTATTGCAATGACGATAAACATTGTGATAATATGATTTTTGTGTTTTTATTGCAGGCTGGAAATAGATGTACTTCAAATCAGAATGTCACTGTACCACTTGAGGTCTGTCCTGCATATGATGATATTTCAAGACTGAATACTGCAAACTGTGAAGCATATGGCAAAAGAGATACATTTATAACTGCAGAATATGAAACTGTAAATGTTAATTAGCTAGTTTTTAATTTGATTGTCTTAATAATAATTAATAAAATGTACAGTTTCCGCCCACTAATAATTATTATATTACCGAGTTTTATTGTGAAGATTGAAGAAAGGCTGTGAAGAAACTAGAAAGACTATTATATCGATGTTAAAGATGTCCCTTACTCCGTTACTGTCCTTATTTTTTGTCTACTTCAGTCTTCTCTTTTATTCAGTGGATTCTTGTTCAACAGTATCTAGATCAGGTGTATCACTAACTGGAGTATGTCCTAATGATACTTTTACTGTACCCATTGGAACAACACTAACTTATGAGTGCTCTTACAGCTTTACTTCAGGATATTATCCGTTTTGGAATGTTAGTGGAACCGAACTGGCTGGTGGTAGTTTCATACCACCTGGAATAAGTGAGTATGTGTTCGATAGCAATATTGGAAAAGCTACTATAACTATTTTAACTAATGGAAATGTCACAATGTACATACAATGTGGATTAAGAGGAGTAGGACCAAATATTAATATGGATCTAACCTCTCGAGTGAGGTTTATTGAGACAGAAGTAGTTACCTTTGGTATGTATAGCTAGTTTATAGTAATGAAGTAGCTAAATCTTTTTCTCTTTCAGGTCCTCCTTCTTCATTATCCTACGAGTTAAGAGAAAATGATACTGTTAAGTTGTCATGGTTACCTCCTCTAGTAGAAGCCCTATCATTATTCACATATAATATAATAATAATGGAGTCAACTAATAATTCACTGACAGTATCTGATATAAACATTACTAATAATACATATGTCATAATATCACCAAGTGACATAAAGCAGTATACTCAATGTAAGGAGTACCAGTGGGGGGGGGGGGTAAGAGCAGCTGCTAATTTAAGTTATGGATTTACTAATGTAACAATGGCAGATACTAACTTTACCATTATATCAGGTAAATTCATAATACATTTGTATGTTTTATATATTAAAAATGCAGCTCCTTCTGTTTCTGATGAATTGATTATTTCTGCTAACAACAGTACTCTACAAATTAATGTAAGTATGCACATGTAAATTTATAGCACATGTATGATGTTTATTT